GTCTTGCCGGAACAGAGTTCAGGAAGACAAGTCAAGCTCTCCCCAGCCTCCCCACGGCCCCTTCCTGCTCTCAGCACCTGCTTCAGCCCAGGGCAGCTGGGAGACTGGGAGGGTAGGACTACTTCCCCTGCTCCCCATGGCCTCGGGGACAAGGAAGGAGACATGGGGCTCAGTGCTGCCTCTGGAGCTGGGGAGTGGCAGGGGAGGGCTCTGCTTCCCCCTGTCCCCCTTGACAGACACTTACAAACACACACAGAGAAAGGAAACTGTAACCTTATAAAAGACACCGAACGCAAACGCCTGCGTGTTTGGGGGACAGCCCCGGCCCCGTTGCCACCTTGGCTCCCGCCGTGTCCCCCATGAGCAGCCGGGCAGGCTTGTTCTGTGGGGCCGGGCGGCTGGCGGGCCCCCAGGCGCCTAGGAGCCGATGATCTGGCCAGACCACGTCTCGTGCTTCGTGTGGGGCGCCAGGTTGGTGAGGACCACCTCCACCGCCTGGAACTTCTGGTTCTTGGGAGGGATGGGGCAGACCTTGTACGTCACCTCGTCCCCCTCCACCGGGACATACTCCCCCTCGATGCTGCAGGAGAGGAGAGGAGAGGTGGTGGGGTTGGAGCCAAGAGCTGTATCCTCACCTCAGACCACCCAGCACCAAGGAAGGCACCCGACCCACCAGCTACGCCTTCAGAAAGAAAATCCACTGGCGATGGGGTGTTAGAGGACAAGCAGAGCCCCATCCCCACCCCATGGAGACATCCCCACCTCAGCGCACAGGTCTCCAGCCCCACGCTGATGGCACAGCTCCTCCAGGGCGTCCCAGCACCACGCAACCCCAGACTTACTCGGACACGTGGACGAAAATGTCCTCTGTGCCGTTCTCGGGGGTGATGAACCCATGGCCCTGGGAGCGCGAGAACTGCTTGCAGACGCCCTTGAAGATGGGGCCGGCGGAGGCACGTGCTGTCCTGTGGGAGGAAAGGGACAGAGAAATGTCCCACCGGCAGCACTCGCCCGGGGGCAGCACAGGAAGAGGTTTGCTATGAAAACGTGGTGTTCCCCGTGAGAGCACCTGGCACCCCCCGCAGCACCCCAGGCAGGTGCGTGTGGTGATGCTGAGCACCATGATGGCCAGAGATGAGCAACATGCACCAGTACAAAGGGTTTTGCAGGTGCTGCTAGTGACCGCAGCCCCTGCTCGGCTTGGCCGGGCAGTCCCAAGCCCCCTCACCGCGTGCCAGGTACTTACGCCGAGTACGTCCTGGTCCTCTTGGTGGGGAGGGGGCTAGGCAGGTCCCGCAGCAGGAGATTGCCCCGCTCCCAGATGCGGCTGCCCTCCCGCTGGAAGGGGAAGGTGGGCCACACC